TGTTTGCTTTCTACTGTTTGCTGTTCTGCCACTCCCAACTTTCAACACAGAATGTTAACACTCACACAAAAGTGGTTTCAGAACAAATCATAAAAATGCATGCAGGCACATAGAAACCAGTGGTCACCATTCAAGGAAGGTCTTTCCCCTCAATTCTGCTTCAGCAGAATCATTAAAAAAATATTTATTAAAAACATCCTTTTTAATCGGCTGAATTAACATACTATTGTGAGTTACAGGAGCAGATGCATGTTACATTATTGAAAGAGTACCACATTTCCCATAATCAAAAGTTCAGAGACAAGACACTTTATCAAGTTATTTTTGTCAAAAAGCAAACGAAGGCTTTAAACAAATGTTTCCTCTTTACAGTACAGCTCCTGTTTCTTTGTTTTGTAATGATGTTAGGATCTTTTGTCAGAAATATTACAAATTCTTCGATGACAACTTCACTGTTGTAGATTGAGCAGTATCATTTCAATGCTAGCCAAACGAGTACAAAACTAAGTGCTGATTATGATCTTTAAAAAATTCAGAAATTATTTTCAGGAAAGTACAGAACTTGGATTAATTTTACATTAATGTAAGTGTACTACATTTTTGACACTACAGTTTCTCTTTCAAAAGCTCAACTAGAAAATAAATATAATGCATCTGAGAACTTTTAGTGATATACTTGATCAAAAATAGTGAAGTAGAATTAAACTCTTCACAGTGGAACTCATCCAGAAAATTGTTTTAGTTTAGAACTGCTGTCATACACTAGGACTCCTCATACCAATATTCTGTTGCAGAAATATTTCAACATTCATCTCTGTATTAAAGCTACACATTTTTCCATTTTTATTTATTATAGAATTATGTGAACTTGAAAAATACATGCTTTTGAATGCATAGGCAGAAATATATTCACAAAAGTAAAAAGAAAAAGTTATTTTGTCAAAACATTGTGTCTTGAGAAATAGTATGTCTTAAAGGAATCTAATCCCTTCCATCTATGCATTATTTAAAAACACACTTTTCCCAGTCCTTCTCTACTTCACGTTAGTTCCATGAACGGCCAGCAGGAAAACAAAAATAAAGTTTATATTTTGAAGTAATGAAAAAAAGATATTTCACTTACCTAATTCTTTAGAAACTGGAGAATCAGCTGATATATCCCCAATCTTTGCAAGGCTATCATAATATGCTCTTCCAGCCACTACCATAGCTTGGGGGGAGGAAAAAAAGTGTTAAAAAAATCAAAGTATGTTCCATTTTCATGAATCTATGATCCTATGAAATTTTGTAATCCAGGGCACATAGTAAGAGAGGGGCATATGGCAATAAGGACATCCTGCTATCAGAGAAAGCTACTCAAGTCCCTGCGCTACCTGCTAATTTGTGAAACCAGGTGACAGAGACAGAACACCAGAATATATTAACGAAGTTTCAGCCTGTGATTTAGTTCCAACTTTCATGCAAATCTAGGAGCAATCAGCGTCCTGTGGGTAGGTTTAGCCATAAACCATTGGTCAGGACATAACAAAATTCCTTGGTATAGATAAAACTGTTGGAAAAAAGCAAAATGCAATCCCAAACTTACTAGCAATGCCAAGGTCTCTGCCCTGTATTGGCCAGCCAGACGACTGATCTGAGAAATGGCTACTGGCCATGAGACAACAGACCTACAGTTGCAACAAGGAGACATGGAGCCCTTAAGCAGTAAATGATTTGCTTTTGAAGTTAGCTGAAAGAGTAACTCGCTTCAAAAAAGCTATGATGAAATACAGTTCGGCAGGTGTGATATATTTAAAAGAAAAGTGAAATGTGAAAAGTTTGATACATCTGATACAGCCACTCCTAAAAATTACCATTATGGATAACACTGTACAATCATCATATACTGCAATGACAAATACGATTTCTTGTCAAAACAATACATTGAAATCTTAGGATCCTACATATAAACACCAACTTTTCCACTTTAAGGAAATTTTAGGCCTTAAATGCTAAAACTTCAAAAATTAAGTCTCTGAAAGATGATGTTCAGGTAACGGAGATAAGCCACTTGGTATTCTTTTCTCAGTTTTCAACATACCATCAATGCTCCCGAGATTATTATAAATTACATCATTCAGCAACTTAGTGAGCTTAAATGTTGGAAGATACCTGGTTTCTTGGACAGACATGGAAAATTAGCATTGATATATACAATTTCGGCACAGAGTTATTTTGACACTCCAGGAAAATGCCTACTTTTATCTTCGTCACTGAACTCAGGATGGCAGAGAAATCTATATTCCAAGTACTTTAAGCAATAAAAACCTCAGGCAACAGGTGCATATACAGTTTAAGAAGAAACCTGAAGGTTTAACATTCCTTACCAAAAAGACAGACCCTCTTTAACACTTGATGGATGCTCCCCCCCTCCCACCCCAGACAGTTCCCCCCCCTTTTATTGTTTATAGTTCAATTCCAGTTTTACAGGAACCGATAAGCTCTTAATATGTATCACCAAGGTTTCAGTTATTCATTATTCAGTTAATCATTTCCTGGTTATAGCTGATTTCAACAGCAAAGCCAGTTTTGCTAGAACGAACACGGAAACATCAAGATTCAAACTGCAGGGAGGCCACTAGTGAGAAACAGATTACATATGTAGTAGATCTACACCACGCAATTGTTGCCTTGCATCTTCACAGTATCTAGAACTGATCTATACACCACAAAGAAAAGAAATAACAAGGACAAACTGACAAGGTTTTATTGTAAAAGGCAGTGAAAAATACTTATTGAAGTCTTCATAATTTTTTGTAGCAGTACATTTTTAACCCAAAGCAGAAGCCAAGCAGACTCTCACTGTTGACTTCAGAATACCTTTTTCTGGGGGGAGAAGGCAATTGCCAATTATAGTCTTTTAGGTCTGTATTTCATAGTTTTTACTAGCAAAGGTGACATCTTTGGTTACCTAACAGTATGTTCACAGAGAAGCCTGAAACTCTTCCAAATGAAACAAAGATTCTTTTTGAGGCCCTGTTGCATTAGACAAGAGTAATTTCTGTCTAAGCTGCGTCTCATAGGTGCTCTATATTCAAACTTTCTGAACAGAACTATACTGGTGCTACTGATGGAGCAGTATGCCACCCACATGCGAAGATTTGATGCCATTCCAACTCTTCCTATCTAATGTTTTCTCAGGATAGGCCCACGTCAATCTTTTATCCTAATACAGGCACTAAAAAAGGAAGAAAATGTGTGATTTCTCCTGCGCTAATCAAGCCAAATCAAGAACTTCACTTGTATAGTCTCTTCTCCAGTACTATGGCTAGTAAACTACTTCTGCAGAAAACGAGTTTTGACGTTTTATCCTCAAAATGTCTAAAAATACATTATAAACCTATCAGAAGTTCTTGTAAGTTTTGTGTTCTTTGTCAGCCTACTCTGACTTGCTTGGAAAGCTGCAAAGTATTTGTTTAGCAACAGAATATTTACTCCTTGTTACAGATCTATTTATACCACCCAGAACTTATGGAGAAAAGATTAACAATTTATGAGAGCCCAAAGATTACTTTACTGTAGTTTCTTAACAGTTGTTGCAACATTGTAAACATTTATTCATTTGAAATTAAGCATTCATGCTAGATATGCTTCATCAGCCAGTCTTAAAAGGCAAACTTGCTAGAACACAATACCTATCAGCCTCTCCAGTGTTGCTGTGCACAGTTACATTGTGAATTACTGATGACAAATTGAATTAAAAGAGAAGAGGCACAATGTAACGTATCAACAGTAAAGTATGTGAAAAGCAGAACCCTCAGAAACTGGTATAAAAATCTTTCAGCCAAACATGAGAACACTTGTTATTACTTCTGGTACTACCAATAATCCCTAAAGTTAGGTATTAGGTAACCACAATGTTAATCCATCAGCTTAGGCATTACTGCAAGTAAGTCAACATTTCCCTATTTTCATCTCCAGCAGGCTTTGGTTTTATCTTTTTCTCAAGCCTGGTCTAAAAATTGCATGAAGAGAGATTTCAATGTCTATTTGGCTATGCACTACTTCTGCAGTATCACATTTCTCAAAGTACTAGATTATATGTAGGGGAAAGATATGCCACCGACTTGAATGAAGCAGAATAAGAGAGATTTTACATCGCTTTAATATGGTATCAAGCAGCTCAGCAGGTCTGTATAGGGGAAAGGGAACAAGCTCTAACAGGTCCTACAATATAAGCTTTGGGAATATAGAGCCCAGTCTTGGAAACTCGTTCTTAGATGGATAGTTTCTGTGAAGTCAATAATGGAAGTAAAAAACCACATTTTTATAAAAAGTTTGAGAGACTCGGTCCTTAGATTCAAATTTATTCATTCTGATTTTGACTCCATTAAAAAGATACCATCAGGTTTAGGATGGATAACAAAAAAAAATCCACTCCTGCAACTCTTACTCATCCAAGTTGTTCTGTTCACAGGGTTACTTAGGTAGTGAGGTGTATAGGTCAGTAGGAACAGATCTAAGAATGTGAAATATATTTGGAAGATATTTCCAGAGGGAAGAAAAAAAGAGAACATTAATTTAGATAACTTTGTTTTTTCCATTTATATTATTATTCTAATGTTGGTTATTTACACTTTATATTCAGTTTATTTTGCAGTAGCTCTGTGCCTGTTTGGGATGTAACTTCTGCAGGACAGTAAAAAAAAAGGGAGAAGGTACATATGTTTGGGTGTTTGCACTTTTTTTGTTTAGTTATACACAACCCTCATATCCAATATGTATATTTAAATGAAAATTAAACATTCTTTCTAGTGTTAGCACCTAGAAGACTTACCATTAACAGCTTTTTCATAATTCTTCCCCAGATTTATTAAATTCCTCAGTCCTGGATTGAACTGTTCCATAACATTCTAGTGAACAGAAAACAAAATTTGTGTTATAGCCAAGGCAATTCAACAGTAGATGAAAGTATTTATCTCAGTGTCACTCAGGTCTAGTTTTATGTTTCATATGTAAAGCATACATCTGAAAAGTCCATGGATGGATGAAAAACAGAAGACTTGGGAGGAAGAGGAGAGCAAAGAATGGGAGAAGAAACTGAGCATTTAAGATCAAACAGGAGAAGAAAAAAAAGGTAAACTATTTCAATAAGGGTAAAAAGGAATCTGGCTGTTTATAATATAAAAGGATGCCAAGTGTGTGATCAAAGTTTACATAGATCCTTCTGTTATGGTAGGTGATGGTGAAATAAGAATGAGAGAAAAACCTTTATCCACTAATTGTTTTATAAAGTCAGACAATAAAAAGGACTTTCTGACAATGGTTCAAGATTTGAGTTCTTCACCCCCCTGC